CGGGGGCAGTCGCCGGCCCGGAGCCCCGCCTGGGCCCAGCGAGACCTGGGGACCAGGGACGTGGGACCCTGCTGTCAGTGCCCCCCCCGCCCGGGCTCCACACGGTGGGGTCCTGCACCACACGTAGGGTGGAACCGAACGGCCCTTTCGGGAGAGGAACGGGACCCCCCACCCGCCCCCCGAGGCCGAGCGTGGTCTGTGGTAGCAGGGAAGCGTCTCACCCCGGGTTCAGCCTTCCGCTACCCCAGTGCCTCAGTGAAGAGGTTTAATTTTATGGTGTTACCTGGAGGGCTGCTTGGACAGTACAAAGCCGAGGAGGCTTGTCCGCAACTCGAGTGCTTACAGGTGTTCTTTTTCTCTTCCAACAGAATCATTGCCATGGCAACTCAAGTGCTGGGACAGTCTGGTGGGAACAGCCTCTTTCCTGGCAGTGCTAATATCGGTATGGCATTGTCCAATGACATGTATGACTTACACGACCTTTCTAAAGCTGAGCTGGCAGCTCCTCAGCTTATTATGTTGGCAAACGTGGCCTTGACAGGAGAAGTCAATGGCAACTGCTGCGATTACCTGGTTGGAGAAGAGAGGCAAATGGCAGAACTGACAACGGTGGGGGACAGCAACTTCTCAGACAGCGATGGAGAGGGTATGGAAGATAGCCAGGCTGCGGAGAGTGACCGCGAGGCATCTGAAAATGTGGAATTAAGCTCTCTTGAAGTTCCTAGTGTGGAAACCCAAGGTCCAGCTGCTTGCCCCCCTCCTAAGACTCCCAGCGTGGACAAAGATGTCTCATTGGAAGCACCGGGTACTCCAGAAAGCACGGAGGACAAGTGTAAGAGCTTGAAGAGCAAACCGTTTCGTTGTAAGCCTTGCCAGTACGAGGCAGAGTCTGAAGAGGAGTTTGTGCATCATATCAGGGTTCACAGTGCTAAGAAATTCTTTGTGGAAGAAAATGCAGAAAAGCAGGCCCAGGTGAAGGAGTCTGATTCTTGCACTGCAGAAGAGGTGGATTTCTCTAAGGGCCCAATCCGTTGTGATCGTTGTGGCTATAACACTAACAGATATGATCACTATCTGGCTCACTTGAAGCACCACAACAAAGCAGGGGAAAATGAGAGAGTCTACAAGTGTACCATATGCACTTATACTACCGTCAGTGAATATCACTGGAAGAAACACCTAAGAAATCATTTTCCCAGGAAAGTGTATACCTGCTCACAATGCTCCTATTTTTCAGACAGGAAGAACAATTATATTCAACATATTCGAACTCACACAGGTAAGTCTTTCATCTTTCTTGATTTAAGCGTGGTAAGAGTCCTGAGAAACTGTGATGAATGGAGCAAGTCAAGAGTCTTCTATTTGCAAAGTTCGTTCCACCCCGATAAAGCTCTGCTCTCTCTCCTCTTGGTGCTACCAGGTTATAGCCTCATGGAAGTGTGGGATTGGTTTGAGCTCCAGTCTGCAGTCCTAGAGGGCTGAGAAAATCTCTCAATGTCAGGGGCCCAAGAGGAGATGAAGAGCATCCTGTTTAGTAATTTTAAGCCAATTTTTCAAAGAGGGCATGACAAAGTGTGCCTGTGATGATGCTCAGGGCCTACAACACGAAAGCCTGATGGACTGTAAAAACAAAACAAGCAGGTTGACAAAAGGTGCCTAAATCACATAAGTAGTTTTGAAAGTGGTACCTTCAGACTGAGCTGAAACTTGACTAACCTGTAATTACAAAGAAGGAGCTGATACACACATGCAAAGGAGCCCTCCAGCATCTACAAAGTCAGAATGAGAGTTGAGTAGTGTTCCCAGTGAATGAATTCCTCTTAATGTACAGGGGCCTCGTTTTTTCTAAGGTCTGCATCACTGCAGTAACCAGAAGTAGACACATACTTCTGTTGGCCTATAGGAAGCCCTCGAGGGAGCCTTTGGCCTGATGTCCTGTCTTCTCCTTAGCGTCGGTTTGTAATCTCAAGGAAAAGCGTGAGGCCCCTTTCTACTCTGGTTTATACCAAGTGGAATCGAAGGACCTTCAGTGTTGCTGTCGTCCTGTGCGCTGGGACCACAGGTGATTTAGGAAGCGCCTTGCTTTTGATACAACAGAGCCTCGCCAGCCTCTTACATGGGGAGTCCTGAAGCGTAGCTGAACTTGAGACTCCTTTCTAGGAGGGGACGTCGTAGCCGCCTCGCCTCTTTGGGCAGTGAGGTACAGTTGCTTTGCCTCCTGATCCCTTTTGTGGAAGCGGGAGGGCAGTTCAGACCTTTCTTGCAGCTTCTCAGCAGCTTTTATTTCCACCTTGTCAAGGCTTTCTGAGGAGTCGGCAGACTCGCTAACCATCTTCTGGCATGCTGACCTGACTCGGTTCCCCTTTATTGTAGGCTGTGCTGGCTGAGCAAAACTGGGGAATTTCTCCTTTGAAGTTATGTTTTGTCACAGCAGTGACATGAATGGTTTGGAGGCTTCAGTTCAGTTGTCTGCAGCTGTCTGGAAGGGGAGGGCTGGACTCGGGCGGCCTCGGGGCTGGGCTTGAGCTCAAGTGTGCAGAAGTTTGTGTTCTGTGTTCGTCAGCATGCTTTAGTATCTGCTTGGACGGGGTTTGAAGGGTCTGTTGGGAGTTTTTGTACCTTCAGACACGCTCTTTTCTTAACAATAGCCAGGTGCTGTTGTTTAGAGAATACCATCAGTTTAAAAATCAGTCCTGTCTAAATATTTTTTTCCTAAACAAGTAAACAAAGATTATTGTGAGAAGTGTTAGGAAAATGGTGTGGTTTATCCTCCAGTTTGTTTTCTTTGTGTGTATTGTGGGAGATAACAAGAAAGAGACTAGGTAAAAATGTCAAAATAGTAGGAGAAAACTAAATAAATCATCCGGGGAACTCGTGGCCAAATGTGAGCCCATGCTGTGGTGCCTGTCTGTTTTACATTTGTCTCGACTTTAAATTCATCCCTGCTTGTGTTTGTACATGACATTAGGTCCCCCCTCTGATCTCTGAAAGCTCTTGTTGAGTTTTACAGGAACTAACCATGAAAGCATGTTTGCTGAGGAAGCACTCTGTTATCACTGCATTTGACCAATTTACCAGTGAACTGTATTAAAGTAAAAAAAAAAAATCAAGCGTGTTAAGCTATGTAGGATATTGTCCAGTTCCTCTTTTCTCCTTTAAAAATAGTGGTGCAATCAAGATTTCTAGTTCTTTGGTTTGCCACATCTTTTCATTATTTTAACTAAGCTGAAATGAGTGATTATGATTATGATTTCAGCATTTTTTAGTCCACCCTGGTAGTTGTTTCTTTGCTAGCTCTTACCTAAAAGTTAAGATCTTTCAGCCAGTTCTCACTTGATAAAAATCTTACAGATATGTTAGTAGACTCATTTAGAAATGTACCTTGTTTCCAGTAACATTGATTTTGTGGGGGAGAGTGTTAAAGATGAAGAGTGTTAGGAGAATGAATAAACTACTGGCAGATATATTTATACACCAGGCTAAAAGTTTCTACTGGTATTAATGTGTAATCAGTTGCCTTAAAAAACATGAACAAAACCACAATGCACAAAACCCCCCCAAACAAACAAGCAACCCCCCAAAAAACCCAGAAAAAAACACCCACAGATATTTTATAGTCAAAAGTATTTGCGGACTGTTAACATAACAGTACTGAATTTAATAAAAACTGTAATATCTTTGGATTATAGTTTTCATTTAGAACTTAAGAAGAATATTTGTTGCAAAAAAGATGAGCGGGATACATACATACTGCATTTTCTTCCTATTTTATGGGTTCAGAATATTAAAAAGAAAGTTGCAATTGTTTGTTACTTTAGTTTCCTGATTGCTAATAGGTTAAATAATTTTGGATAGATACTTTTTTCTCTCTCCTATTTTTTGTACTTCACCTGCTTTTTTCTGTGTGGGAAAATGCCTCCTTGCAGGTAATTGGATTCTGCTGTGTTTGAGCCATCCAGTTTTCTGAAACACTGACCCTGTGCAGAGTACAGTTTCACAGGATCAAATGCTCTGCTGCTGCTGCTGCTGGAGAAAGGCAGTCTCAGTTTTCCCCCCATATCCTGGGACCGATCGATTCAGCTCACTAAAATGGCAGTAAAATACTCCTTTCCTCTTCCCTAGTTGGTTTTCTGCTGCTTAGTGAAATGAATCAACTTGCTAAGGACACATACAAATGCCAGAGCACATGGGCAGGAGCAGGGAAGGGGGCTGCGTGCTAGTACCTTGCGTGGTGGGAGAAATACCTATCCTCCGCACGTGTGGGGACCACGGGAAGGCCGGCAGAGGTTATCTGCTTGCCTGTTGCTTGCATCCGTGTTGGAAAGCAGGTGTCCGTGAACCCGCCCTGTACTGGAAGATACCTTGCAGCTTGTGACAGTGCTTGTGTGGCAGGCTGCTGACAAATATGGGGGACCTTGGGCAGAGGAGTGGTTTAAGGACCCTGCAGGTGGTGATAAGCATGTCAGCTGGGAGAGCTACATCTGGAAAAGCCTGTCTGCTGCCCAGGAGGGGGTGGCTGGAGATGTTCAGGGCCGTCCCTTCCTTTGCTGATGGGGCAGAAAGGACTCTGTCAGGGACAGATCTACCTGGACTTGTTTGTGCTCATTAGACATGTTAGACCAAGTTTTGACTTGATTTATCCCATCAACTATCCACACTGCTGATCCTGGAACTGTACTACGTGCAAGACAGTGCAGCATTGTTCTCAATTTTTTTCCATTTTACTTGTTAGAAGCAATTTCTAGAAAACTTAATTGAAAATCATCTGCAGGGCTATATAAATAAGACATCTACTTCAGGCAGTCCCAGTGTTCAGTGCCTAGCTTTGGGCTGTCATTTTGCTTAAATTTTGGTTGTCGTAGGGGATCTTTCTTGCTTCCCACTGTGTTGGAAGTTTGATGGAAGCAGTTTTGTTTCAAGCAGACAGAACTTCTAATAGCATTGCAAGAAAAGCTTTATAAAGAGATGATCTTAAACCTGTTCACTGATGTTGGTCTGCCTGTTCATTTGCATAGAGCTAAGTGCCTGCTTAAGCTTTTGCTAGGTCGGGCCTTGTTCTTTAAGTGTCTTGTGGAGAGGTTTTTTGGTGGCTTCTTTGCATATAATGAGCCTGTAAAATTACAATAAAAATCCTTTGGGGAATAGCATTTTATAAAACAGTTCTTACAATGTAGTCAGGCATTTAATTCTCAAGTGGCAATAACACATTTTAAATTAGTTGCATTCATCATACTTTAAATCTAGTACGTTTTGTTGCTGTCCCCTATATAAAATACTTGAAATAAAGCCTTTTCCACATTTCTAACGTTGCAGGTAACTTTAAAGATATGAAATGTCAGGTAATGGGAGGAAGACATGACTGAATATTCCAGGACCTTTGGTCACATATTTTCAGATTATAAGGAGTCATTTAAAAACACAACCATTTCTTTATAACAAAAGGCCTACCCCTCCCTTGTGCATGACTTAATCTTATTGTGTGTATTGCACCAATCTCCTACCTTGTTTTAACTGGAAAGGGAGGGGGGGTATGGTTGTTAGGGTGAATTTACCTTTAAACTGCTGATCTAATCAAGAACGATAGTCTAAATGTTTGATGGGAGGAAGAAATGTGGGATTAGTCTGCATTACAAAGACCGCTTCTACTGCTATTTTGTCAAAGGCCTGCAGTGGAGCCTCACATCACATACTGGCAGATGAAGGTCTTTGCTGCTGCAGATAGAGTTATGCCTCTGGAAGTGAACAAATAGCCTGTATGCAGGGCTTTTGCTGACGTCCAGGTCTCAGTGGTTTGGAGAGCACGTTGGTTGTGTGCTTCAACTGATGTAGCAAAACGCTGTAGTGTAATTCTGACTATGACTTGAAAAAATATGAAAACCGAGTAATACATATTACTTTTCCCTTCCCAGCTTCACTCCCCTCTTCTGTTGGGGGTATCCACCCTAGACTAAAAAGTGTGTTTACAACCTGTAGTGGAGACAAGGCAGCCTAGGTCTCTTGGCTGTGCTAGCAGTTTGGGGCAAACACCCCTGGTACTTATCTGGACCTGCCTAACAGATGTTAATTCTAAAACTGTCTGCCTTTATTCGGGGCTTGTCTTCACTTGAAGAGGATTTTCAAGTATCATTGTACTGATAGTTACACAAGCTAACTGTCCCTTGTGGAGACCTAATTTATGACAGGTTAGTTTCCATTAGTTCTCCAGAAACAATAACTCTGCAGGCAGAGGGATTTGAGTCTTCAAAATAAATGTTGCTGCTACACTTGAGCTTTTGCTAGCAGCATAGTTTCACTGAGCAGGGCATCATGCTTTTCCACGCTCCAAGCTAATTTCACTCTGCCAATAAAACTTTGGAAGTAGAGACCCAGTCTCTATCTGCATTGGTGTTCTGGCAAATGCAGTCCACGCAGAATGGATGGTTGCTCCCCATCTTAATCCAATTTAAACATGGAGGTTTCAGGTAAGGTGTTATGTGAAGCAAGAACATACCTGGTTTCTTACAGGGTCTGTATCTTTTGTGCATCTTCTGAGTGCTGGGAGAAAATACTGTAGGAAAGTCAGCTCTGGTGGCTTAGGGCTTCCTAAAGGTGGCTGTCCTCATCACCTTTTGTCTGAGGTTACTGTCTGACCCCAGATGGACACGAGGATGTGCCTCTCTCATATTCTGCCCCTTCACTAGCCTCGTTCATAAGGCATGACACGTTGCACTGGTCCATCTCGGGCATATGCTCACTGTGGGCCTTTGCTGAGAGGTAATGTGCCCTCAAATACAACTTGGGGATGTGTGACAGCCTCACGTGTATGGCTCAGTAACCAAGTTTGGGAATTGTCTGTGTTTCAGTAACTAATTTGCTGTTTGTTTTTGCAGGAGAGCGACCCTATCAATGTGCTATGTGTCCTTATTCCAGCTCTCAGAAGACCCATTTAACCAGGCACATGCGCACCCACTCAGGTTGGTAAGGGGCAGCAGCAGCGTGACTCGGGAAAAGGGGTTGTTGGTTCACAGAACCACAGCATGGTTGAAGTTGAAAGGGACCTCTGGAGGTCATCTGGTTCAGCCCCCCTGGTCAAGCAGGGCCACCTAGAGCAGGCTGCCAGTTCTGTGTGAGATGTCATCCAGTACGGCCTGAGCTTTAGCTCTGGTTTTAACAGGGAAGGTTATCTTTACCTGCTAAGGAAATGCTAAGTGTCATTAATAAAAGTGATAACAGGGGAATGTATCTTTTTCTTTCCCTTTTACTTTCCAAGGTGTATTCTGAGGTTCATAGGGCTGCTCTAGTAGTCCTAGTAATCTAGTAGCAAATACAACATTGTGATGATATAGGAGCAGATTCTTGTCTTCTGCCTGCTGCCGTAACTCAGTTCAAATCAATGAAGCTGGGAAAATTTTGAGCAGCTGAGAGTCTCCTCTGTGATGTCTGCGATTTCATCTCAGCCAGGGGTTCTGAGGGAACCCTTAGCTTTTGCTTAGTATTACAGAAAGATGTAAAATAGTGTCTGCTTATGGCAAGGAGACACAGAGGAGAAAAAAGCAAGCTCAGAGGGTGTTCACAAGTGACTCGGTCTTGTGGCCCTAAAAGCCAAATTAGTGATTTTCATTAGCCTTTATTTCCCATTACAAACATCTGCTCTCGCTCTCTTGCGAATCTCCTTTTGAATTAATTAATAGCATTTTTGTGAGTTGTAACAGCATAGGCATGCTAGACACAACCACAGTTGTCCTTTGTGACCCTCCTGGGGGAGCTCAGGTAGATCTCAGCCTGTGCATTTGGCATGCTAATATCTGAACTGACCAGACCTAGGTGAATTCCTAATCCTAGCAAACAGTAGTGAAAGTCTCCTGAACAGTAATTGTTTCAATTTCAGTAGGTGAGGCTTTTAATTGAAACCAGAAGGCAGGCAATTTTAACTGCTGTGGATGGGGGGTTTGGACCCATTAAAAATAGCCAGCTTTAAAATGACATGCCAGTATTTTGGTTTGAGAATTTTGTGAATGAAGTATTCTGCTTCCAGAAACAAAAATCATTTTTGGCTGAACCTCTGGGCTAAATGCGAATTTGCAAATGCTTTGGTCAATACTGAGCCTGGAAACTATTAGATGAACATCTTATTCTCCCCTTGTCTGTGCAAAGAAGTCTCAAATCCGAAGGAGGTGAGGAGTGGGATCTGCCCTTGGCCCTTGACTCAAAGGTCTGGGAGAGAGGGCGTGAGCTGTGCTGACAGAAGTGGGAGTGCACATGGGACTCTTGCTATCAGGGGTGTTTTATTAATAGCTCTCATAACTTCTATTGCATGTCTTGCCACATTGCCCAGGCAGCTGAACCTTTTCTGTGGCAATTTCTGGACTCCTGCAGTTCACAGGCTGGCCTTTTAAGGCAAACTGGTGCTGGAGCTGTCTTCAAATGTCAGGCAGTGAACGACAGTGGTTTAGAGCCTACTTCACAGCTGTATTCTTAGCCATCTTGGTACATGTCCTTTCCACCTGTGCAACAAAACCCCTGGATTTAGTAGAGGTGACGGACACAAACTCTTCACATGCAACCTTTGAGTTACCCTGTTGCAGCCACCTCTGAGCACTCTGTGCAGTTAGAAAAGCTTGTTCAAGTGCATGTAAAAGAGAGGCTGTTCTTGTCCTCACTCTGTGTAACATGGAACTGTTCATTGAAGTGTAGGCGATAAAGGTCCACGCTTGCGAGAAGGACGAGCAGTGAAGCACATCAAGCTTAAACTTGTGGAAAATGTCACCAGGAAGTGGGGGGAAAAAGGAAGGAAGGAAAGAAGACAGGCTGAAGATGATAGGGAATCAAAGTAACCCTTCTTGAAATAATAAAGAGATGCTGCAGGCAGACGTGAAATGATCTAGACTCTTAAACAAGTGTCCCCATCCTTCCTGCCAGGGAGGCAGCACAGCCTTTTATAGAGTTTGTGAGGGCGTTGCAGATCAGCCATGTGGCTAACACAAACAGACACCACAGTCACAGTGACTTCATCTTCGCTGCAGGCTGCTCTGGTCTCCTGAGTTGTGCTGCAGAGGAGCAGGATGAGTACGGGCAGTGTCGGGGCAGCGGGTTGCAGGGGTGGGAGAAGTACTATTGTACCGTGAGCAGAAGGGGCTGGAGTCGATTTTCAGCGTACCTAGGAAGTGGCACGCATTAGTTCTGCAGGTCAGTTTTGAAATGCTGGTTCAGAGCTCAGGAGCATCCCAAATTCCTCAGCTGAATCTGCACAGATGTTCTCAAAGTATTTCTGGACTTGAGTTGTTGCACTAGAAGTGTTTTTCCTATTCGCTTTGATGTGTAAATGGCTGCTGCAGCGGCATGCACTAAGCAGAACATTTCAGGAACACTTCTGCAAGAGTCATTGCAAAACTGTAAATCTAGATTTCAGTAGTAACATGATGGCTTTGGACTGCATATGGTTGGCTTGCCAAGAGTAACCTGCAGCCAGTACGTCACGTGTTTTGAGACACCATAACAGTGAACTGAATTATCAGCGGTAAAGATCATCTGAGCAGTGTGTCCCTTTCACGTGCTTTGGGTTTGCTAGCTTCTTTTCCCTCGTTTCCTTTTCAATGCAAACATGAAGTATGCTAAATCTGTGTAAAGTTGGACTTTTTTGAAACGTTTGTGTGAAACTGCTATTCATCAAATGTTACATTTCCATTTTTCTACAATGCATTCAATGGACCAGTTGGGTATGGATTCCATTTGCTAATATTACTGTAGAGAGATCTCTGCCGGTATGTATGCATAGCCAGAACCTGTGACGTTGTTACTGCTTGTTTGGTTTTGGATCCCCTTCCTCCCAACCCTTGCCCCTTCTCTCTTTTTTGTATTTTGTTCTTGGTGTCTTGTGAATGTGTTTGTGACTTGTGGATTTCTTATGTTGACTTTACTTAATTTTAAAGGCGCATGGATAATTTTTTTTTTCTTTTTGAGTTTCATATATCTGTATCTGTATTAGTGGGAAGTGATTTTCCCCCCCACCCCCCATACTTAATAATCACCATCATTCCCTTCCGCCCTTCCTTCCTTAGGTGAGAAGCCATTCAAATGTGATCAGTGCAGCTATGTGGCCTCAAACCAGCATGAAGTAACTCGTCACGCAAGGCAGGTTCACAATGGGCCGAAGCCTCTGACTTGCCCACACTGTGACTACAAAACAGCTGACCGCAGCAATTTCAAAAAGCACGTTGAGCTCCACGTCAATCCGCGCCAGTTTCTCTGTCCTGTTTGTGATTACGCAGCATCTAAAAAATGTAACCTGCAGTATCACATCAAATCCAGGCATCCCGATTGTTCTGACATCACCATGGATGTTTCAAAGGTGAAGCTACGGACTAAAAAGAGCGAAGCTGACTTTTCTGAGAGCATTAATGACAAAGCGGAGAAGGAACAAACGAAAGGGGATTCAGCTGCAAAGAAAACTGAGAAAATTGTCAAAGTGGAGAAGAAAGATAATTTGGCAAAGGAAAAGAAGACGACGAGCAATGTTTCTGCAGGCCAGGTGACAACCAGAAGTCGGAAATCGGCTTCAGAAAACAAGGAGGTGGATATTAAAACTGAGAAAAATACTGAGAAAACATGTAAAACAAAGAAGATCAAAAGAAAGGCAGAGGCTGAAGTAACTTCCTCAAAGCAAGAGCCCGCAAATGATACCTCAGCAGTAACAAAAAAGAAAAAGAAAGTGGAAACTAAATCCAGAGACTGCCAGGAAGCTCAAAAAAGCGATGTTGTACCAGAGGAGGAGGCTAAAAAGCAAAATTCTTGCCTCAAGAAAAACAGAAAGAAGAAAGCTCTGAAAAATAAGCACAGTAAGAAAAGCAGTAAACTCGACCAGGAGAAGATCGAGGACGAGGAGATGCCAGACGAGTGTCCTATCACAGAAGAGGATGGATGCGTGAAGCCTGACACTGAGGACAGCGACCAGAAGGAGCAAGATCCCACTGACATAGCGGCGTTAAACAACGATGGCAGCTATGCTCTCAAGGGGGAGGGCACCGATCCCAAAGGGAGCTGCATACAAGACCCAGGGCAGCTTTGTCTGCCAGCTCAGGATGCAAACACAGAAGCTGAGGTGGAGGACCAAGAAATGCCTGCTGCAGCAGAAGAGAGCGAGGACACTCTTGGTGAAAAAGAGGAGGAGAGAAAGGCGGACACAGGGCAAGACACTTGCCCTGAGGAATCTTCCCATGCAGTGTCTTCTGAAAAAAGCTTCGATGTGCCCATGGATGTGGTACCAGATCTGGCGCCTGAGAAGGAGCCAGAGGAAATGTGCGTGGCAGAAACTGTGAGTAACTCAGACCCAATGGACCTGACTAAGACGCGCCTGCCAGCGACAGAGCCAACAGGAGATGCCGTGCCGGCACCTGCGCCTCCACAAAGCCCTAAAGTTGCTCTGGCCTTATCATCTCCGGGTAACACAGCAGTGAATGAATCTCAGGAAATGGATGAGGATGAGGGCATCCACAGCCACGAAGGCAGCGACATAAGTGACAACATATCAGAAGGAAGCGATGACTCGGGGTTAAATGGCGCTCGCTCCGTACAAGAGGAAACAAGTCCAAAGACGTCACAAGGAGCTGCAGACACCACAGTGGCCAGGGAGAACTATGTGTGCATTTTTTGTGACCGCTCATTTAAAAAGGAAGGTGAATACAGCAAGCACCTCAATCGCCACTTAGTCAATGTGTATTATCTTGAGAAGGCAACAAAAGGGCAGGAATAGAAATCGCTGTGGTTTGGGGGAATCGTCTTTTGTAAGATCTTATACAGCTTATGTACAGATATTGTAGATTTATTTTTTTTTTAAGCACGGTTTGCTTTAGTGTCTGCATTGGTTTGTTTTGTTTTTTTTTTTAAGTTGAAAATATTTTTTGACAACTTTTTGTGTAATGGTAAACTCCAAACTATTGGATCTCTTCATTAGAGAAGGCAGGTAGGGTGTATGAGGCTGTGTCTGTAAGCTTCTAGTCTATTAGCTTATGCAATTCTTTTATAAATTGAGTTTTAGGATCAAGACTGTAGCTAACAGTACACAAGTTGGATGTTCATAGAGCCATTGGCATTAGTTGCTTTTTGTTCTAGCAGCCAACTCCTCTCTCTCCCCTCTTCCCCTTTTTTTTTTTAGTTCTTCTCAATGTGTCTTGATGTTCAAAGTGTTAAACTACTTGATGATTTTTCTACCAGGAAGATAGCTTCTATTGCATAAAAGAGCACTTTGTAAAAGAAATCAAAGTTGGTCTTATACAGCTTATGTACAGATATTGTAGATTTATTTTTTTTTTAAGCACGGTTTGCTTTAGTGTCTGCATTGGTTTGTTTTGTTTTTTTTTTTAAGTTGAAAATATTTTTTGACAACTTTTTGTGTAATGGTAAACTCCAAACTATTGGATCTCTTCATTAGAGAAGGCAGGTAGGGTGTATGAGGCTGTGTCTGTAAGCTTCTAGTCTATTAGCTTATGCAATTCTTTTATAAATTGAGTTTTAGGATCAAGACTGTAGCTAACAGTACACAAGTTGGATGTTCATAGAGCCATTGGCATTAGTTGCTTTTTGTTCTAGCAGCCAACTCCTCTCTCTCCCCTCTTCCCCTTTTTTTTTTAGTTCTTCTCAATGTGTCTTGATGTTCAAAGTGTTAAACTACTTGATGATTTTTCTACCAGGAAGATAGCTTCTATTGCATAAAAGAGCACTTTGTAAAAGAAATCAAAGTTGGCTAGTGATGAACATAACTGTTTAAGATAATTATAATTGTGAACATACATTTCAGATCCCCTAAGCGTGAATGGTGAGCCAAAATTTGGGAGTAGTCCTTCCAACTTTTGATTGGAGAACCTCTGTCTTGATTAATATCTTAATGACTATGATATGTAATTGGCTTTGTTGTGGGGGAGCAAGTTTGTTATTTTTAATTTCTGCCTTTTTTTTTTATTGTGCTTTAAAGGCTTAAAATATTGCACATTGTTTTTGATTTTTACCTATGCAGTTTAATCCTTTAGGAATAGCGCTTGTGCAGTACATGTACACTTTATATATGCATGTTTGGTTTTGTTTGTGTAAGGGTTTGTTTTTTTTTATTTGGAAACGTTCAGATTCGTTGCTTACCATGGAACAGTTTTCTGTGACAGTTTTCTGTGATGCTCTTTACTGCGGATTTTCCTTGTTTTCCTGGGGTATTATTAGTTGTGCATGAAGTCGCTGAAATTATGAAGTGCTTAGCAATATATTTTTGACTGGCTTTAAAATTGTATAGTTCTTGAGCAAAAGGATATCAATGCAATTTCAAAACACTATTTTATAGGATTTGTTTTATCATGGAAATGCCACTTCTGATATTTTGAATACACATACAGAGTAATAAATTCTAATTTATCATTTGAGATCACCAGACAGGAAAATACTCACTCTCAATGGAAATGGTCTGCAGATTCTGCAAGTCCAGATGATGATTATTTTTTTTCCTCCTCTTTTCATTTCTGTGGTGGACAGCAGTCAAACTTCATGAGCTTAAAAAAAGTAAAATAGTAGCACTGATATAAGTGTGGTTCATCAAAATTAACATCTCACATGCCAAAAATACAAATAAAGATAAATCAACTGGTAAGCAACAAACCTGGCATTAAAAACTGTAGGAATTCCTGCTCCTTATTCATTCAAGCTGCATTTAATAAAATCATCCTGCTTCCATGCAGAGAGAAACACATAAGTGATCAGATTGTCATCTCAGGTCTACATGCAAGAAATGTCATACCAGGAGTTTTTAATTCTAAACAGATTTAATTTCTGGCACACACAAACACAAGAGAGATTGCGTGCTTACTGCTTGTAGCCAGCCAGTGGCAAAACGTAAACAAAATCCAAACCAGCAGGGAAAAAGCAAAACCCTCCACTTCCATCTGTGCACTCTTCTGACTGTCCTTAGCCGCCTTTCCAGGGGGAGCAGCTGGGGGCAGCTTCTCTGGTTGTCAACTCCGAAGAAGCAAATTCGGAGGCAGGTGTTACTTGGAGAGTGAAGTTGAGGAGTTCAGACAGTATTTGTCAGAGCACTTTAGGGCAAATACTTTCAATGTATGCTCTGGAATAAACCCTGTTCTTCTCTGCATGTCCCCACAGCACCTTCCTCTCCAAACAAACCCACTGCCTTGAATGAATAGAGAGCAACAATGCTACATTGCTTCTGCTTTTGGGAGAGATTGGTAACAGGAGGCCAAAGATTTGAGAGGGAAGGCATCCCTCGTGGCAGAAATAAATTGTATAATGTATAGTGAGTTTTTGTTTGCATAGATAGTGTTCAATCCTTACCTTGGCTGCGACAATCATTGTCAACTGAAGATCAAGTTGCAACTATATTTATGTTAAACATTAAGAAAATAAACGTTGTTGAATTGTTTTCCTAAACAACCAGTTGTAATAGTCTTAGATGTATTTTTTTTTCTTTGTAATAGTGTTTCCTTTATATATAAATGTTGCCACCATTTGTGAGCGATGTGAGCAGATGCTGGGAATTCCAGTACTGTGTAGAGGTTTTATAGCTCCCTTCATATCCTTGCGAAGAGCTTTGCCATCTTGTGAGAGCCTTCAAGGACTTTAACTATGTTCAAATAAACTTGTGGACTGGCCTGATAATTTTTCTGCTTTGTTTTTAAATGAAAATAATGGTGTTGACTGACTTTAAATCTCTCTCTATGAGATAAAAACAAAGATGTGGTTCTCTGAGATACTCTGCTGCACATTTCCGTGAAGTGGTCAAGGTTTCAATGCTTGATCTGACAAGAACTCTTGAAGACGACAGTCGGCTCCTGTTCGGCAGTGTTTCTTACCACAAGATTAGAAACTGAAAATAAATTATTAACATATTAAGAAGAAGAAAAGTTGATTCTTTCTATCTGAGACCCATCAACAATGTCCTGAAATACCTAATGTTGGTGCAGAACTGTGCTGGAATTCTCTGCTTGGTTAAGACCAAGGTTTGGGAGTATGTTACGGTAAAGCAGCAAGGATGTAATGCATTATGTGTAACTAAAATGTTAGACGTTGCTAATACTGAGTATTTGGGGGTGGGGGGGGGGGGGGGGGTGCAGGTCAGGTAACCCACCATACATGGTGGTCTTACATTGCTGTGTCTCCCTTTAAACAACGCCTTTTTTTTTTTGGTCTTTTTCAATATTCTTAAATTATTTTGTGTTGGTTTTGCCAATGCGAGCGTTTTTGTGTTTCTTGGCAATAATACCTGTATGAGTTCAACCTCCAGTATGCGGTTGGAAGGATTAGCACACCGATACCCCTACACTGCCAGCCCTCGGTTGAGCAACATGGTGTTTTGGGCTTTTGCTGTATGAATCCGTACACTCAAAGTAACTGCCCTGAGAAATGATCTGCAAGTGGGTAGCTATTTCTGGATTTTGATGATCTAGGCTGGAACTTCAGTCGTTTAAAGAAGAAGAATGTTTAACAACTGACAGGCCAGTTAAGATATGGTAATGTCATTGATTTCAACAGATTTAATTGGTTTCAACAGATTTAATGTAGCTGAAAGGTATTAAATCAAATCCAAGAGTTTTCTTGAATGTCAGTTGTGTAGATATGTGGCATGCATACAATATTAACAGAATCCAAATAGCTAATGGAATTGTTTTATGTGTACATATATTTTCCCCCTCTAAAATTACATTAGCTAACAAACTTTTGTAAGCTGGCATGAAAACATGTTTATGATGTTTAGTTGCACCATGTTTGATGCTTTTACAGTGCAATACTTGTATTCTCTGAATTAAACCAAAGGTAATTTTTTTCATGCTCTCTCTACTGTAGTGCATGACGGTCTTTTCTACGTTTGTAATAGATGTAAAACAAGCCAGATCATACATCCTGTTTTTAGCTAAAACATGTATAAGTCTTTTGTCCAAAATGTAGTATAAAGTTAAACTAAATTGCATTATATTAACCCTTACAAGTGTATTTTCCTAAGCATAGTTATGATTAAATAAACTTTATTAAGGAACTTGCAGCTTCTATCTCCCACTTATTAATGGCTATGAAAGCCGTTTGTAACTAAAGGCAGGAGCAGTGCAAGCATCGTTGGCAGAGCTCTTCAAGACCTCGAGCCAGCACAGTCTGGGGGAGCCAGTACATAGATGCCATGTGTGTGCACACGCAGACTTGACTGCAGACAGGGACAACGGCTCCAGAAAGAGGTTCTTTTTCCATTTCAACATACTGTGTTCATTTCCCTGCCCGATTCAGTGAGGACAGGGCACAAGGTGGCAGATGCATGCGTACGGATGAGGTTCAAACTTAGTGCTGGACCTGTTTGTGACTTGGCCGGACAGGCCCGATGGGCATGAAATGCATATTCCCTGCCATGTGAGAAGAGCTGCAACTTGAGGGAAGCTGCAGCTTTTAAATTTGAGTTTCAGAGGTAATGCAGGTGGCAATTCCTTCTGCGTTCCGAAAGGGTCTCTGGTGCTGTCTCATCTGGGGAATTAACAGTAGATTTATAAAAATGAGGTCACCCGTCATCCCTATGGCTACAATACTCTATATAGGTTTTGAAAATGGCTTGAGAGCTGTGGAGCCCCGTATAGCCTGCAAGGGTGACTTCATCTCTCTGCCAGCCTGGCCCTTGAAAACCTGAGCTGGATAAGCCCATGATGCTAACCTGCCTTCTAGGGCTTGGTCATTCTTGCCTCCTGCTAACGCAGAACAATTCTTATTTGCCAAGGGACCAAGGCAAACAACATTTGATGAACTTGTGGGGATAGTTGTATATGCAGCTGCTGCAGCTTTGAACATTTTGGGACGCTCTAGAAGCATAAGAAATGAGCTTTTGTCTTCTCTGATTAAATGTTTTCTCATAAACAATGCCCCCCCAAAGTGGTCTTAGTCTGTCAATGTGAATTTGGGTTTCTGAGCCATGCAGTTAGTAGTCAAGCAGCAAAGAGCAGGGTGCACCGCTACCACGGGACATAGCCTTGGAGGGCTGCAGGTTGTCATCACCTGGGTAAGGGGCAGGTTTTGGTTTGCTCCCCACAAAGTTGTGTAGACAGCGTGTATACAGTTTATGGTAAACCCGGTGTAAGGACAGGGAACAGGAGTGGTACCTGAGCCTGCCCATGGGCTGCAAGGGAGATGCTCTGAGAGCATGGCATAGAGATGGCAGGGTCTGGGTACTTGTGTGCCTCTTTGCCTGTGCCGTGTGAGTTAACGATTTCAAACTGGATCAATAGA